TTTTTTTTTCATCAAGGGCAGAATGATGCACTAACAGTATTTCTCGCTTCATACCACATTATCATTGTACCACACACCCCTTTAAAAATAGATCTTTTTCCTGTACCCCCCCCACCCCCACCGGAGAATTATCAGCCCACTCCCTTTCTATGCCCCTGATTCTATTATATTCACTAGTTTATTCTGTTCTTCAGATTTTTTATTCACTTGATTTTTAGAGATTGGACAAAAATCTTACACCTATGGATGAGGGGTAAGGGCATGGGGTGGTGTGGGAACCAGGAGGAGGAAGCTATGGGGGGGAAAAAGAGGAACATCTGTAATAATCTGAACAATAAAGATTTAGTTTAAAAAAGAAAGAAAGAAATTTGAGTATATTACTAAAACCATCCTTACCCCAACATTGCCAAACACTGATTACTTGAAGTCCTAAACAGTTGCTTCATGGTAAGGACTCAGAATTAAGACAGTGAATTTGATATGTTATTTCACAATTGCTTCTTAAGCACTAGAGTTCATTTTCTAGTGTAAAGTTCATTCTCCAAAATAGTTTAAACAACCCCATGAGTCTTGATCTCTTACTAGTTTAACAAGCCCTTTCATTACAAATAGTTTAAAGTAAATATCATTCCCATTCCCTATAAAAATTATCACAAAATCTGAGTCAATGAACTTTACTATACTTCTTGTTCTTAAAAAAATACTGGCTTAAATTTACCTGTCAGAAGTTCTTGTTGCTTCAATAAAATATTTCTTATTTCTTTTAACCATATCATCTTCACATCTATATTTGAAGCCTAAAGATTTTTAAAAGGGGGAAGAAGAAGACATGTTTCTTCTAAAAAAGATATTTTATATTAAACCAATGTAATTAAGTTTATCAAATATGAACCGGAACATGAGTTCTGAACCACCATATTTAAACTCTAACATTTTAATTCTTCAAACTTCTAAGAAGCAAATAAGCAACCATCAAATTAGATGAAATAATAGTCAAAACCATTTTGAAACTGCCTTTAAATAATAACACTCACACTAAATATGAAATATAATATCAGTTATTTTTCTTTGTAGGAGGGTTCTTTTAAAATATAAATGTTTTATGTTTAATTTTTGTAAAATAAAACAAGTCCTACTGTTTCTGAAAAGACAAAATAGATTACTATTGCAGAGTAATCTTGATAACTGATGGCAGCAAGCAAGCTTCCTTAAATATCCTCCCTTTACTTAAAAGATACATTTGTTTAAAGATAGCAAGAAGTCTTATAACTAAATCAAGCCAAGAAAACATATTTTTATGAAATTATAATCATTTAGTACAGAATTAAAACAAAGAAAAAGCACTGGGCACTTTAAACAGATAACATCATGTTCACCTGTCACAAGTTGTGATATAAATAATTATTGAAATTACAACATACTCTTGAAATGTTCTCATTCCTCTACACTTCACTCAAACAGGTTGGACCTTACAGCATATCTGGCCAGAGATTTAACCATAGTCTTCACTAACCCAGATCAAGTGTCTATCGTCACATTGCTCTGTCTTGTAATCAGGTACTCTACTCTCTGAGTGCCAAGCACAAGAGGAACTCAGAACTGTTATGAATTTGTAACTCTAGAAACCTGATGGGGAAAGAGAAGCACCTGCTAAGCTCTTGGCTATCAGCTATCTACACTAATAAAAGAGAAACATGGTAATTAGCATACGACCCCTACCCTTTTCATTGGCTAATCAGTGAGTATATGCAAATTAACTGTCAGCCAAGATGGCGGCCGGCAGCCAGGCACTGAAGCGAGCACGAGGCTTGCTTGCTGCAGACTCCAACGTTCCCCGCCTCACTTGCCAGCCTCTCA